AAATGACAACTTTGTGTAAAAAAAAATGTTTTTGTCATTTTCCAGAAACTTGTGGAAAAAAAATAAATCTTACATGGACTCAATATGCCTCTCAGCAGATAGCTTAGAGTGGCTACTTTCCAAAAAGGGGGTCATTTGAGGGTGTTTGTACTATCCTGGTATTTTAGCACCTCAAGAAATGTGATGAGCAATCAGAAAGTAAAAGCTGTGTAAATTCCATTATCTATACCATACTTTGTAGACGCTATAACTTTCACACAAAGCAATAAATATACACTTACTGGGATTTTTTTTTTTAACCAAAAACATGTAGCAGAATACATTTTGGCCTAAATTTATAATGAAATGTTAGTTTTTTTGGATATTTTTTATGACCGAAATGAGAATATATTGGTTTTTTTTTTAAATTTTTTATTCAAAATTTTTTTGTTTATAGCGCCAAAAATAAAAAGTGCACAGGTGATCAAATACCACCAAAAGAAAGCTCTATTTGTGTGAAAAAAAGGGAATAATTTTCATTTATGTACCATATTGCAACATGACCGCGCAATTGTCCATTAAACTAGCGCAGCGCTGTATAGCAAAAAAATGGTGTAAATTGCAGTATCTATACCATAGTTTGTAGCCGCTATAACTTTCACACAAAGCAATCAATATGCACTTATTGGGATTTTTTTACCAAAAACATGTAGCAGACTACATTTTGGCCTAAATTTATACTAACTTTGAGTTTACTATATATTTTTTACAGCTGATAGTAAAAAATATTGTTTTTCTTCAAAATTTTCAGTCTCTTTTTGTTTTTTTGTGAAAAATAAAAAGCGCACAGGTGATCAAATACCACGGAAAGAAAGCTCTATTTGTGTGAACAAAATTACGTAAATTTCGTTTGGGTGCAGCATTGCATGACCACGCAATTATCAGTTGAATTAGTGCAGCACTGAGTAGCAAAAAGAGGCCTGGTCATTAAGGGGGGTAAATCCTCAGGTGTGCAAGTGGTTAAAGAGGAACTCCACCCTCCCAATGCAAATTTTAGTCTTTTTCCTCACTTGCCTTTGGTGCTTTGCTAGATTAATATACTTAAAAGCCTAGCTGATCCAGCACTGTCCTCATCTCTTGCAACACTCTATTACTCCATGTTCTGTCCCATGCCACTTTCTTCCTTTTTACATTACAGGGAGCCTTTTTGCTTCCTCCAGTCTTTCTGGTCTCTTCCTGCAGCCGGCCCTCCAGTGGCACAGTGCCAGATCTTGCTTATGTGCAGACAAAGATTTTGTGCTGTGTCCTTTACTTACTGTTCTATGACTAGAGGAGTGTAATGCGTCCTAGGATACCGACATCACATATCCCAGGAATCATAGAATAATATGTAAATAGACATGACGCTAGATCTCTGTCTACACATGCATGACACATCTGTTTACTTTCTCTGGTATGTAGGGTAAGTTCTCAGCAGTGCACTGCTGTTTCTCCTCCTCCAGGTCCAATGCAGCTGAGAACAGAGGGTATGTGATCAAGGGGAAAAAGTGGATATAATGTTTTTTATATCTATACACACGTTTGAATTAAATTTTTATTTTAAACTGAATGGGTTGTTTTACAAGGTGAGGGTTTACAATCACTTTAAGTTCCACTTAACAAACCTTGATCAGACAGGCTGTCTCTGTCAGAATACACTGATCAGCACTGCAGCCATTTGGCTGCAGGTGCTGATCAAATGAAAGTTTTCCAACAGTCCTAATGAATATATGTCTCAGATGATCCAAAACACAATATGATGTATAAGCAGAGATCAATGCATCAGATAAATAATAATGTCCAAATAAATAAACGCAGGATCTTGCATGGAAGATAAAAGAACCAGGATCCAACGGTAAAATTGCACACTCACCGGACGCGCTATAAGAAAGCGCATATGTAGTATGACCACTGGAAATCCCTCATCATGCGGGGACGGTAGATAGCCTTCCAGGAACAGGTGATCTCAGTGTAATGGACAACCTCCAGATCCAGAAATCACCTTTAGACTGGGTGAATAATAAGTGAGGAACTCCCTCCGGTGGTGAAGATGAGCAATAGAATAACCTGAAATATGTTAGCTCCAAAAAGGAGCCAAAGAACACCTCATAGTGTAGTAGGTAATAAAACAAAAATGTTTATTCCAAAAGTTAAGCACTTAAAACAGGGCAGAGACACTGTGACAATGAAAAATGAATGAAGTGCAACTGACCCTAAAGTAAAATGGCCGCTGGGCCTCCTCGTGGCTCCAGGCGGCTAAATGTCACGCTCTGCTGGCTCCTCCAAAGGCCTTTCGTGCTCCAGCACATCATCAGAGGGGAGGCCTCCCTACTACACCTACTACACTATGAGGTGTTCTTTGGCTCCTTTTTGGAGCTAACATATTTCAGGTTATTCTATTGCTCATCTTCACCACCGGAGGGAGTTCCTCACTTATTATTCACCCAGTCTAAAGGGGATTTCTGGATCTGGAGGTTGTCCATTACACTGAGATCACCTGTTCCTGGAAGGCTATCTACCGTCCCCGCATGATGAGGGATTTCCAGTGGTCATACTACATATGCGCTTTCTTATAGCGCGTCCGGTGAGTGCGCAATTTTACCGTTGGATCCTGGTTCTTTTATCTTCCATGCAAGATCCTGCGTTTATTTATTTGGACATTATTATTTATCTGATGCATTGATCTCTGCTTATACATCATATTGTGTTTTGGATCATCTGAGACATATATTCATTAGCGCCGCACTTCTTTTATCTTTGTGTATTTTGAGGGTTTTGCTGTGATTACCCTGAGTGCATTGGCTGCTGCTGAGAGAGCGCTCACTTTCTTATTTTTCTTTTTTCCAACAGTCCTGTTTGAGAGAATTCGATCATTAGATTGACTTCTGTCAAGTGTGAATGGCTGCAGATGGAATGAAATTTGGATGGTGTTTGCTGAACTGGCCAAATTTCGATCCATCTATAGCCAGCTTAAGGCTTTTTCACATTTGCAGTAAGCTTACTGCCCTCTGAAAAGCAAGCTGGATCACATTATAAAGGGCAGTATAGCAGCAGCTGACAGGCATTCTGGATGCACTATTGCCGCTTCCTTATGCCTGTTTTTTTGGTTTTTTTTTTAATTGATGAATAGGACTGCATTGCAATTGTGAGCCAAGTGTTTAGCTCTCAGTTGCGGAGCAGTCCCATTGAAATGAATGGGCAAATTTGACAGGTGGTGCCGCCTATCAAACTCTGCAATTCAAGTTGAAAATGTCGGGGCAGGGAAGCAAAGCATCATGGCTGCAGCATGTGTACAGCCCTGTCCGATGGTATTGTTAGGTATGAGGCAGGCAGGCAACCAGAGGGTAGTAAAACTTATGCTCAGCTGCCTGTTTTTACTGCCCCCCCCCTTTCCAGCCACCCATGTGAAAGACCCCTAAAAGAGGAACTCCAGGATTTACGCATACCCCTCAACCACTTTACAATGCAGGTGAAGGGGTTTCATGGACTCTTTATAAATCTTGGTATGTGAGGTGTCCTCTCTGCAGGCTCAGCCACAAATAGATTGGAAAGTCCTGGATGGGAACTAGCAAAGACTGCTGAGCCATACATTTCTAACCTGTGTGTTTTGGAGAGCGTTATTAACTAATACACTGACATGTCACTAATCTTCTTCATATAAACATTTGGGGGCCAGTGTGTGAGGAATCACGTCTCAATGCACAGCCATATTACTAATGCTCTGAGTAGCAGGTGAGTTAAAACCTTTGGAAATATGCAATTATTCACAGAAATTAAATTTGCTAACAAAGCTTTTATTTGCTCAATTCCCCACTGAAGCATGTTTATTTTATACCTTGTAAAACAGATTAAAGTTAGCTCGGCATGTCATAAAGGCTAATCGGTGAGCCATGTCATTTCTGCTACTATGTGCTTAAGCCAACATTTCTGCAAGAGATCGTTCCTGGAGTAATTGTCTGTGATGTTGCTGTAAGATGTTCAGCGCCCTGGCTTTACACAATGCTCTCGGAGGAACTCTGTTTAAAGTAGATGTAGAACCTAATTGGATGACATTTAGTTCGCTAAAGCATTGTAGATCATAAACAGAATTCATTGTCATTTCATCCTTTTATACATCTCAGTGCTGCTGTTCTCCTGCAGCCTCTTTATAACCGGTTCCTGTCTGCCTGTGTGGACTATATTAGGCTTCCTGATAATGGCAACTAGAGGGCAGGACATGTCTACACAATGAGAAGCACATGTGACATGGTGAAAATACAGGAGAGAATCTGGAAGACGGACATTTTGTCACTCAATAACAGGAAGTGCCTGAGCAAGGACCTTCATGGCAGGATCTCCAGATTGTAGATTTAAAGTGGAAGCAAACTCTTATTTAACCTCCCTAGTGGTCTGATTATGACCATATTTCTGTGCTCAAAGCGGTACATTTTTTTGCATGGAAATATGTCGTTTTTTTATTGTAGGCCTGTAATTTTTAAGAATAACTCACTGAAATCTGTCGAACAAGAGTCTAGTAAACATCCCGGGTATGTCAAAATTTGAAACACGAAATCAGAAATTGTAATTTAATAAATAATCATAAAAAATAATAAATTTAATTCAATAATATAATCTAACAAAAAACACTGAAATTTGAAATATAGCTCCAAGTTCGCACATCACTGAGCAAAGTCGCAAAATCGTTTTCAGTATCTGATGACGAATTTCCCCACGAATCATCACTCAATTCTGCAAGTGGCTCTCATTTACTATCGCTGTTCTCTAGCTCAGGGCTTAAAATTTCAAGTCCTGAGCTACTAGCCAGGCCTTAGAGTTACTCGCCACCAACAAACACACACAAACAGAGACACCTGTACACACACACACAGAAACATGTACACACACGCACAGAGACACATGTACACACACACACACACACACACACACATACAGACACATGTATATACACACAGGCACGTACAGACACGCATACACACAGATACATGTACATACACAGAAATACACACGCACAGACACATGTACATACACACAGATATGTACATACACACATAAACATGTACACACACGCACAAAGACACATGTACACACACAGACACAAACATGTATACACACACAGGCACGTACAGACATACATACACACAGATACATGTACATACACAGAAATACACATGCACAGACACATGTACGTACATGTACACACACACAGACACATGTATACACACACAGACATGTACACACACACATACATGTACATACACGCAGACACATGTACAGATACACACATGTACATACACACAGACACATGTACAATTGTACATGCATACACACACACAAACACCCCCCCATAAAAAGTTGCAGTACTTCGTAGGTCACTCACAGATCCGGGTACTGCACTCTAGGGGGAGGCAGAGAGCACAGCACACACTCCTTCCTTTGCTTTCACTGCGCTCAGCTATTGAGCAGTCTGACAGCTCCCAGTGCCAATGACAGATCCGGCCTGAGCTCAGAGCCTGCTCAGCAAGACGGCCCTGGGGGACACACTCGCCCCCACCATAATTTCCACTCGCCATTGGTGAGCAGGCGAGTGCAAATTTCAAGCCCTGCTCTAGCTGGTCTAAAACCCACTTTTGACCTAAAGGGACGCTTTTTGGACGCCATGGACTTTTCTCAGTTTCAAGGCACAAAGAACAGTAAAAATGTGGACAAAGCACTAGGGACAAAATGTATGTGAAATGGTTTGATACAGTAATGTTATACTATGTGATTTTAGTGAATTTAGTGAATGTCACTTTTAAAATTTCCTGCCAGTTCCATCCCCCGTACGTCCCAAGGCTCGCAGGGAACAGAACCCGGAAGACAGATGCTGGCATCGGCCTGAGGACATTGCCGGAGACGCTGCAGGGGGGACATCGCGGGAGTGCAGGACAAGGTAAGTGAAGAAGAGATCCCGAAGCAGCGCTGCAAGGTATTCCCGAGTGTAGCTCGGGGTTACCGTTTGTGGTGCAGAAACTTTACCCCGAGGTACACTCTGGAATACCTCCAGGGAGGTTAACCACTTCAAGTCCGGACACTTTCACCCCCTTCCAGTCCAGGCCAATTTTCAGCTTTCAGTGCTATCAAACTTTGAATGACAATTGCGCGGTCATGCAAAACTGTACCCATATGAATTTTTTAGCATTTTTTTGAGACAGATAAAACTTTATTTTGGTAGTATTTACTCACCACTGGGATTTTTTCTATAGAAATGAAAAAGTCCAAACATTTATAAAAAAAAGTTTTTCTTATAAAATTTTGCAAATAAATAATCTTTCTTCATAAATCTTGCCCAAATGTATTCAGCTATCTTTTTAGTGAAAAAAAAAAATAATCCAAATTAGTTTAAAACCAAAAATTATAATTTAAAAAAAAAAAAAAATTTACATTTTTATTTAATTTTTTTATATTATTAGTTATGTTTTTTGTTTTTTTTTTCATACTGTCACCCTAGCAATACAGTGTCACCATAGTGACACTGTACTACTTGTGGGGGGTGATGAAGATTTTTTTTTCTTTTTTTACACTGATTGCTTTTACACCCATAAAGGCTGTAAAAACAATCATTTCAAGCAATCCTGCAGCCATTGAGAACTACTGTGAGAGCTGTGAGTGGTCACATGGTACAAGGCTGTTGTGAATAGCCTTGTACCATGTGATCTCTGTGATCATTCACAGATTTCACAAGTAGTAAGCAATGATGTGAGGACGTGACATCTTGTTTACTACTATTCATGTGATCACTGATTGGCCAATTAGTGATCACATGAATCGGGACCTCATACAGAGGTCCTGTACAGCAATCTGTGTCCCAGGGAGCACGCACAGGCAATGGATGCAGGGAGACGTTTAGAAATGTCCACCTGCAACGCAGTTCTCCCGTCCGGCTGTTTATCGACATGGGCTGGACGGGAAGAGGTTAATAATTTTATCTACAAATAAGCTTATAATAACCTGTAGGTAAAATTAATATCTCCTAAACGTGAACCGTTTAGGAGATATTAGCTCTTTTAGATATTCGGAGTATACGCTCTCAAGGAACGGCATGCCGTGCCGTTCCTTCAGAGCACTGTGCCGTGGCCCGGGACTCCCGCGTGGGAGTGATGTCATCATGACTTGGCCAGTCAGCCTGCCAGAGCTCCCGAACCCGGAAGGAAGACCGGGTGAAGATGGAAGCCCCGGGGAGCTGTGACAGCGCTCCGCTGGAGAGCTTCTTTTCAAGGTAAGTCCTTCATAATGTGCTAGTATGCAATGCATACTAGCACCTTGCAGGTGTTTTTTTTTTTTTTTTTTAATTCCGTTTACCACCACTTTAATTAGTTGAGCTCTCACATCTGTATATCCCTTATGGACCAGAGCAATTTGTACATTTCTGCTATGGGCCTGTTTATTTGGTGATAACTTTGTTACTACCTAAGAGCACAAAATAAATACATCATACAAAATATCTTTTTATTTTTTTGAACAAGCAAGTCTTTATTTCTTTGGCTTCTTAAAAAATGACTTTATTTTCTATGCAATCTATAGACAATATACATATATGCTTTTTTCTAAAAGTGGTTGTTAAAAAAAAATAAATCAACAATATGGTTAAAATAGATAAAATGTATCCGTTTTATTGTATAATCTGTCCCATTTACACTGACAAAAAAATTCCGATTTTAGTACAAAGCGTTACAAAGTTATTTAGAAATGAAGTAAATGCTCTACATGACACATAAATTGCTCAGTTCAGAAATCTGGCATCTTTAGATCAGACTTTTTCAACCTTTCCAACACAGAGAAAACTTTGAAATAAGATTCAGGTCTCAGGGAACCCTGCTAAAAATTATTATGTATGGGTTTCCTCCAGGTACTCCGGTTTCCTCCCATGCTCCCTCCAAATTGTCCCTAGTATATGTATGAGTGTGAGTTAAGGACCTTAGATTGTAAGCTCCATGAGGGCAGAGACTGGTGTGAATGTAATATATATATGTGAAGCGCTGCATAATCTGATGGTGCTATATAAGTACCTGTAATAAATAGCTACTGCTCATGATACATTAGTGTGATGGTTAGTGGGAAGAATACTTGTGGTCATTTGGATGAATTACCTCTTACAGACAGCTAAAAAGATCAATGGTGTCAGTGAGATCTTATCTGCTAAATATTGCTCAATGTTCAAGGAACCCCTAGAAACCTCTAGAGGAACCCTGGTTGAGAAACCCTGCTTTAGATCAAACACTTCTATACCTCCACCGTGCATTTTCATTCTTTAGATCAGCTCTCCTTTTGAGCATATGTGCACAAAAAAATGATCACTCTGCAGGCCTTATTTCCAAACTTTGCCAACACATGACCTGTCTCTAAACCCTCCTCTTTCCCCTCTTCATGCATGGATAAATCTACGGCTGACCTCAGCTTCACAGTGGTACCTGAGGACCGGTTCAATAATATGGTTAGCAACCAGAGAGGGGTGGACTGACAACTCATGGGGCCCCCGGGCAATAGGGGATCATGGGGCTCCTGTGTCCTTGCCCAAACTCAAAAAAGCCTATGAAAGGTACCAGGGGCATCTCATGGGGCCCCCTTCTGACCCAGGCCCTCGGGCAGTGCCCGAGTTTCCAAATGGTCAGTCCGCCGCTGCAACTAGATCTTGCTCACAGACAGTGGGGTATTTTGGTTTTGTTCTGCCCTAGGCAAGACTAAAATCTGGCACCCCCCTGCATCTAAATTTGCCCCACCCCTTCCTGTTTAAGATCCACCCCTTCATCTTTAAACCCTACCCCTTCCTATTTAGGCTCCACCTCTTCCTATTAGAGCTCCACCCACTGACAACGATGGGGCGCTATTCCTCCCACTGACATCAATGATGGGGCACTATACCTCCCACTGCCACCAACAATGGGGCACTATTCCTCCCACTGACAACAATGATGGGGTACTATTACTTCCACCCTGACACCAGTGATGGGGCACTATTCTAACAACTGACACAAAGGACGACGCCCCATCATTGGTGTCAGTGGGAGGAATAGTGTCCCATAGTTGGTATCAGTGGGAGGAATAGTGCCCCATCATTAGTGTCATTGGGAGGAATAGTGCCACATCATTGGTGTCAGTGGGAGGACTAGTGCCCCATCATTGGTATCAGTGGGAGGAATAGTGCCCCATCATTTGTGTCAGTGGGAGGAATAGTGCCCCATCATTGGGAGGAATAGTGCCAGTGTCAGTGGGAGGAATAGTGCCCTGTCATTGGTGTCAGTGTGGGAGGAATAGTGCCCTGTCATTGGTGTCAGTGTGGGAGGAATAGTGCCCCGTCATTGGTGTCAGTGTGTGGGGGGGAATAGTGCCCCATTGTTGGTGTCAGTGGAGGGGAGGAATAGTGCCCCTATGTTGGTGTCAGTGGGGGGGAATAGTGCCCCATTGTTGGTGTCAGGGGGGGTAATAGTGCCCCATCGTTGGTGTCAGTGGTGGGAGGAATAGTGACCCATCGTTGGTGTCAGTGGGGGGAGGAATAGTGACCCATCATTGGTGTCAGTGGGGGGAGGAATAGTGACCCATCGTTGGTGTCAGTGGGGGGGGGATAGCACCCCATCATTGGTGTCAGTAGGAGGAATAGTGCCCCATCATTGGTATCAGTGACACCAATGATGGGGCACTATTCCTCCTGCTGACACCAATGATACTTACCTTGCTGACCCCTGCTCCAGCCTGGGCTCACTCTCTCCCTCTCCTATCCACAGCCAGCATACCTGGCTGCAGCAGCACCATCTGCACGGCACAGACACTTACCGGTCAGCTGTCTTCCTTCTCCGGCTGCTCTCCTTTTCACTCGCTCCGGCCGCTCTCCTCTTCACTCGCTCCGGCCGCTCCCTCACTAGATGTTCTTTGATCTTCGCCCTGCCGCTCGACTCCTTCTCTTCAAGCTCCGTCTCCTCGCCGGTGATTGGCCACCTGTGTGCCTTTCCTGAGCTACAGTTCCAGCGGCCAATCACTGGCGAGGAGGCGGAGCTTTAAGAGGAGGAGTTGAGCTGCAGCGCGAAGATCAAAGAAGATCTAGTGAGGGAGATCTAGTGGGGGAGATCTAGTGAGGGAGAGAAATGCCGATAACCGGCATTTCCGTGTTTACATGTGATCAGCTGCGATTGGACACAGCTGATCACATGACCAAGCTGACATCTTCAGCTCTTTCCGTGATCCGTGATCTGCTGTGTCCGAGGAACATAGTGCACTGGTGATAGCCGCACTGCGCGCTTCCTGAGCCGCGCATGCGTGGTGAGAATGGAAGGACGTCATATGACGTCCTATCAGAACGAGAGAACCACCTTGCGCCCGTCATTGTACTATATGGCGGGCAGAAGGTGGTTAAATAAAAGAATACAGTTCCTACAGTCAAACATGGTGAAGGTTCACTGGTGTTGTTTTGCTGTTTCAGGCACTGGATGTGTTGACCATGTGCATGGCATTATGAAATCGGAAGACTACCAAAGAATTCTGGGGTGCAATGTAGGGCCCAGTGTCAAAAATTTGGTTCTCCATCAATAGCCAATGGGTCTTACAGAAGGACAATTACCCAAAGCACATGTCTAAAAGCACCCAG